GGGAGGATGGACGTGGGCTGATGCAAAGGCAGGTGGGGGAGTTTGACGACGACGTGTTGTCCAAATACCTGGAAGGTGCAATGAGGGGGAGGGAGGGATGTGGGGAAAGAGGCTGGAGGGGAGGAGGGGCGGGGGGCAGGGGCAGAGGGTTGAATCGGGATAACAGTGAAAGTGGGTTCCACAGGGAAGCTGTCTATGGAGGACATTCCGTCCTCGCTGTTGAAAGCTGCGCTGCGGGAAGAGACGTTGAAGGGGGGAGCGGAGAGAGTGTGCGTCCTCGTGGGGTCCGCGTTCAAGAACAAGGGAGTGCAGGTCTGCGAGGGTTCTCTAATCTCCTCCTGCTGCCATGACGAGCCCTTGCAGTTTCTGCTCGACGCCATCATCGACTTTCTCCCATGTCTCCTCCTCTCTTGCTCGCCCCCGCCCACCCTCTGACGTCCGTCTCCCCCGCAGCTCCTGACAACATGCCGCCGGTAAAGGGGACGGCATTGAGGTGAGAGTGGAGGGAGGGGAGGACCAGGACGGGGAGGAGGGAGAGGAGGAGGAAGAGGCGTGTGGGGCCGACACTCCTGCCTGCAGCAAGAAGAAGAGCAAGAAGCCGCAAGACATCGTCCACATCGAGCGAGCACCGTCAAGGAAAGAGAAGTTCCTGGCGTTCGCGTTCAAGGTGAGGAGTCTTTGACGGGGAGGCAGTGGGGCTCAGGGGGGAGCAGGTTGTTACCGATCGCCACGTCGGGGATCTTGTCTACATCCGGTGCTACAGCGGGGTGTTGGAGAGCAAGGTACAGAGAGGGGCAGAGCCGTGTCTCCGTGCAGTTCCTCTGACCTCTTGTTCTTCCAACTCTGCTCGCTCTTTCTGTGTGCCGACCTCTCCTCTTCTCCTACAGTCCTCCATCAAGAACGTCACCAAGGACATTGCGGAGCGACCGTCGAAGATCCTGCGGGTCATGGCGGAGGACTACGAGGAGATTGAGGAGCTCGGAGCTGGAGACATCGCAGCGCTGGTAGTGCTTGCTCGCACCTCCTGGTTCTCCCTCAGGTTTTGTCAGGTTGGACTCAAGCAAACTGGGACAGGAGACACTCTTGTGCTGTCAAGTGAGAAGCAGGTAGAGTTAAGAGGAGGAGGAAGAGGAGAGGGGGAAAGGGGAGGGAGGGAGGGAAGGATGGGATAAGACTGGAGGCAACAGCGCGGAAGCAGGGAATGTCAGGGGGGGGAGAAGGTTGGAGATGTCGGGAGTTG